ATCATCGATGTTTCCCATCAGTAGTTGAACGGCGTGCACCTCTTCCAACTGTTGTTCGCATTTCATACTTATGTTGCGCCAGCGGGTGATGTATTTTGTCACCGATTCACCCTTTTCTCGTTTCTCTAAGGCAAGATCAGCAATAGTAGTCTTTTCGGTAGTACTGGCGAACTTTTTCACGAACATATTTTCTAGTTCTGCAAATGTCTTGACAGAATCATTAGGGAGCTTGGTATACCATTCAAAAGCAGTCGCAGTCAAATTGCTAATAAATTGGCGGAAGAGTAAAGCATCCGCGCCCCCAGCATTTCCACATGTTGCTTTAAATTGGGCCAAATGTTGTTTAGGATTGCCAGTACCATTGAAAGTATTGAATTTGGGCACTGAATAACCCTTAGGGTAGGGCACTTGATCGTATTCAGTCGGATACGGGCGACCTTTGCTTACAAACTTCTCTATATGCTCTGAGGCAATGACAGCTTTAATCTTTTCGTTGATGATTGATTCTAGCTGTGGAGTCATCATCGGCTCAGATGCACTTGCAATATTTTGATGAGTTTGTAGATTAATAGGTTGATCAGCCTCATTTTCTTCTTGATTTATGGTTCGTATTCTGGACACCTGGGGTATTGGATCGGTTGGCATATTAGTAGGAATACTACTCGATACATGCTGATTAACTGGCTGATTTGTTATTTGCTGATCAATTGCTTGAGCAAGGGCAGGAGTAGTAATGATGTTCTTTTGCATTAACTGCATCATTGCAGTCATCTGCGCCATCATTTCTGTCATTTTGTTATTCAGCTCTGATATCTCCTTATCCTTCTCTTTCATTTGAAGTTTCAAACGCTTTTGTGCTTGTGCAAGTGTCTCAGTAAGCACTTCTTCTTGATCATCATTTTGTCCATCATCTGAAGAGACTTCTTCTTCTTCTTCTAACTGCTCGTGCTGAGCTTGATCTTTTTGAGGAGTTGTTTTAGAAGAAGTGGGCGCTGCTTCGTTGCGTC